GATTTTAGCCAGAATTAAGCTTAATTTAGGCCAAAAATTGAAATTACACCCCTGGGCGTTATTTCGGATTTATACGGGTATATACATCCTTATTGTAGATCTTCAAGGGGAGAGTTACACTTATCATACAAAAGGAAATTGTCTTAGATTCTAAAATCAGGTGTAAGAACCCACATTCTCTTTGGTGCATATAATCAATGTCCTTTTCTTTTTTGTTGGGTTTGTATTACTTGCAGAAATAGGTAAGTCCAGGGGAAGATACGTACGTACGTACGTATGTACGTACGTAATTATCAATTATGATGACATATGTGCATATCCTGGGTAACCCAAAATAAATATGTACCCGAATATTTTTAAAAGTCCAATTTGACAGCAAATTTGTACAAAAGAAGATTCAATTTTGTACATAATTATATACAATGTCGTGTAATTTGTTTTGAATTATTTTAGTACTATTGGAATCTTCTCAAGGATTCAAATAGTATCAAAATTACTCAAATCAGATTATAAGATATTATTTTCTTGAAAATTCATCTGTACAAAATTGAATATTCTTTTGTACAAATTTGCTGTCAAAAAGGGGGTAATATGATGGCATGTACATTATGAGTTCCGTAAGGATCAACATTGATTTATTTTTAAGTGTGATACAACGCTTAATTTAAGAATATTTAGACTTATTAACTAAAGATTGACAAAACTTTATATAAAAAGAAATAGAATGAAGAAGAGAATAAAACAAACTTTTATCGGAATATCTTTGTGCTGTATTTCTATTTGGTGAGTACGAACGTACGTACGTACGTACGTACGTAAAAATTCCCTTTGTGGCTTAGTCAAAATGAGGCGTGTTATACTTGATCGAATCAAATGTCCACCGAGTTAAACCAGAAATGTTACATAATAATGTGAATTTGATTCAAATCAATTAACGTTACGCCGATTACGCAACTAATATGTTGATCTTGTCTTAATATTGTTCAATCACGATTCACAAAGAAACGAATTCTACGATGGGAGTGTAGTTGCGCCTTTTCTTGACTCAGGTTTTTTTATGACCAGCTTTAATAAAGCTATAGCATGAACAGGTTAAAATAAACTTTAGCCAAGATTTTTTCCTAGCAATTTAAAGCTAGTAATTGAAAGTGAAAATTAATGCGGCATTGATGCGTAAATAAGAAAAAGGGCATCCATCTGTACATATTTGGGATAGCTTTTTATGTATTGTCGTAACCGGGTACTATGTACCAGTTGCAGTCCAAGAATCATAATACAGGTATTTGTTTACAGTATATAATAAATGTGCTAACCGTACGTTGTTCAAGTGCTTTGAAACCTTTAAATATTTTCCGTTTTCCCATCTTTTCGTTAAAAATTATCCCAGTAATGACGGTTTCTAGCCGGCATACGCATTTTATGGTCGGGTCTCCCCCGGAACCAATTACGTATGCGTTAAGCTTTCTTATCAGTTTATTTTTTTTATTAAAGATAAAAAAAACATCCGGCAAATATTAATGATAATTTTAAATTATTAAATGCGAGAATTAATTAAAAATTTTTGGCTATTACAGTTACAAGTATCAGTTAGAAGTTTCTCAAGAACCTATACGAGCAAGAATGTGTGGCTTCGGAGATAAAGATCGTCGTACAATTGATCCTCCGCCCATTATTAAGCTTCTCGTAACTACTACGGATGGAACGGTCGTACCCGAAAGGTAAAGTTTTTACCTTTACAGTACCTTACATATTTGTGAGTATAAGTTAAACCTCGATTGCCAATTCGTTGTCACCAAAAATACTTTCAAATTGATCACATTATAAAATTAAATGTACAGTTCTATCGATTATTCTATGATGGTTGTTCACGTTGGTCTATGGTCCAAAGATTGCAAGGAAGAACGTGGCTTAGTAGTCAATCCTACATCCATGTTTGCTAAATCCGATAATCCTAACTCAACCATCATGCCTGTGAATGCGCCTTTAAGCACTCGAAACCTTATGGGTCATTGCACATCGTCCGCGTATGTGCTCAATGATCATCTTGGTCAAAAGGGAATTTATTTTATATTTCAGGACCTTTCTGTTCGAACTGAAGGTACTTTTACCTTAAAATTCTCTTTTTGTAACATTAAAGAATTTATGGTCCAGTAAGTTTTATGCTCTTTAATACATAATTTTCGATTTTTTTTTCATATTGACTAATTAAATCATAAGTAGATCTCCTGATGAATTTACAAGTACCCGTGGAAGCGTTGCAGCTGAAGTATATAGTGCACCTTTCAAAGTTTACTCTGCAAAGAAATTTCCGGGTATGACAGGTACGAAGATTATCAATTAATATTTATCTCAGGTTTTGAACTTGTTTGTTAGGCTTGGAACATGAATGATAAATATGATCGATAAATGAGAATTCGTGCTTCAAATTAGAATCAACCGAGCTTTCTAAGGCTTTCGCCAAACAAGGAATTAAAATTCCGATTCGTAAGGAAGCATATTATAGGAAAGTCTCCAATAACAATTTGCATAATCAGCTTAGTGTAGACATTCCTCAGGCAACAATCGAGATCTCTAGCAGTGATTCGGAAGATATTTAATCTTTCAACGAAACTGAAGCACGTGTTTACTCTCAGGAATATAGAAGTAAAATTATGCAGTCACAAACCGACTACACAAATAAGAATGAATAAGTTTAACGCAAAAAAAATTTGATTCTTTTAAATGATTAATAATAATTTCGTTTATGTTTTGTAGATATGTTAAAGTAACCCGTAGCAGTATGTCTTCTTTTTTTAAGCACCTCTACTTCAATATTCCTAACGTATCACGCGTTTCTTTCTATATTTACCAAATTCTGTGTATTTATTTGTCGAATCATGTCGAGTTGTTAATGTGTTTATCAAATCGGGACGTATGTGTATAGTGTTGGGCTAATGCAAAACTAATGTACAAATGTACAAATGCTTTAATCGTTAACAATATCGACGTATTGTTCAAGGTTTTTATTATGCCTTGGGCATAATGATTTTGTAGGCTTTAATCAAATTAGAAAATTATTTTATTGTTTCTTTTACATTTATGAACTTAACATATTCTAAAACTTATGTTAACATATATATTTTATGTTTAGTATAAATATGCTTAGGTTAAAATAAATATGCTAAATTTCAATACGATTAAATGTAATATAGGTAACCACTTCCGCAAATTTACTGAACGCCATAAAAAGGCAAGTCCCGAAACTACTGCATATTTTTTACTTCAGGGCAAGTCAAAGAATGATTATTATTAAGTATCGAGATCTTTATATTAGCAATAGTGCCAGATTGATGCATGGTATTTTATTTTCTTAACGCTAGAGATGTTAAAATCCCAAGCTTTTTAAGTCCGATTCTTTGTCACATACTGGGATATTGCGTTTGTCCTTAGCTACAATCTACTTGTTAAAAACAGGTGTAGTTAAATTTATTGTTACTGGATATGGCAAATAACAAAGCGGTTCATATCATGTTCGATGTTAAAAGTTTTGCTTAAACTCCTTAAAATCAAATCAAGGTTTAAAGATATAACATTAGTCAGCTGATTATACCCTTCTCTCTACTCTTGTAGAAATATTTAAAAAATAGATCTTAAAATTACAAGTTCTAACCTAATAATGAGTGTCACCAAGGAAAAACCAGACCCCGGGCTTTTTAATTTATTATTGACCGGAATAAGTCACTGCAAGATCTTATTAATACGTAATAGAAATCAAGCTTTTAGCCGTTTCCGATTGGTTCGCTGAAAGAAAATTCTTTGCACACGTGTTTAACATGTTACTGATTCAATTTTCAGTTTGAGTCTGCCAAAAATTATAATTGAGTATCCGAAGTCTGGTTTTCTCTTGGCATTACCTAAATTATATAAATTATAAGAGGAGTTATGTTTTATGCTTCCTTAATTTTTATTATTTATCTCTCTTTAAGAAAAACTTTGAGTGAAGATATCTCAACAATCACTTAATCAAATTTGATAATTTTTTTTTATTTTGATTCTGTTAGTTTAGAGAATTCAAATAAAAGGTTTTTTTATCAAATTTGATCAACTGGTTATCAATAATCTTTACTCAAACTTTACAGAAACTTGCAACTTTAATATTACTTGCAATTATTATAAAATTTCTATAAAGTAACCATGTAGCAATACACCTACTACTATTTTATTATAATTTTACTACAATTTTACAAAAATGTTTTTAATAAAATTATAGTAAAAATATAGTAAAATAGTAGTTTTACAAAAAAATTTAATAAAATTGTAGTAAAAGTATAGTTAAATAGTAGTAGTTTAGAAGTAAATAGTAGTAGATAATGTATAGCTAATATTGATATTGCAATTTTGCAAGTTTTTGTAAAAAGTTCAAAAAATTTTAAAACATCTATCAAAATAATTTAACAATTTTAAAACTTTGAGCAAAGATATTTTAATAATTATTTGACTAAATTTAATGAATTTTTTATTTAAGTTCTTTAAATTTATATAATCAAAATAAAATTTTTATTAAATTTGATTAGATTTTATTAAGATATATTTATTCAAAATTTTAAAAAATCCAAACTATTTAAAATTTTTAAAATTTTAAAAATTTGAACAAAATAACTTTAGAAACTTGCAAATTTGCAATTTTAATATTATTTGTCATTTGGGCCTCCTCTTTCCCCCTCTATAACTAATAGTAGCTAGTCTTAAATTAGCTTGCAAATAGAAAATTAAGAGGTGATTTGCTACACTCAGGTGGTTATACAAGATACAATAGATAGTTTAAATTAATATCATCTTGATATAAATCTGTAACTAATCTTATCATATATATAGCAAATTCAAAATAAAAAAGAAAAAAATAAAAAAAAAATAAATATTATTTGTTATTAGCTTTAAAGTTTTTATAAAGTAATTGTATAGTTATTTATAGTAGCTATAGTTTTGTATTTAAATTATAGTAAAAATATAGTAAAATAGTAGTTTTACAAACAAATTTTAATAAAATTATAGTAAAAGTATAGTAAAATAGTAGTAATATAGTAGTAAAAACAGGAGACTTTCTTACTATTTGGAAAATCACAGGCTTTATCATAAGATTATTGACCAATTAAAAACAAACTTTATTAATTCATGATTAAAACAGGTAGATAATAGTTGTATTATAACTTGCATTGTAAAGGAATAAGACTATTCATCCATATTGTAATAGCAGCTTTACAATTTTTTTTCACTTTGGCTATCTTGCCAATATTCTTTATTACTGGGCATCGATTGGTTAGAATGACACCAAACAAAAAGTTATACTTTGTAATTATAGACATGACATCCTGTAGTTACTTCAAAGAGCACTTACAAGTGACTGCTACACTGAGCAGACATGTCCATTTGAACACATCGCAATGAATTTCAACTAGAAATTTCATCTATCTCAGAAGACACTATCAGACCACCACCAAATAATAGGATATCACCAAACTAATGACATCTTCTCGTAGAGAAGTGAAAAAAAGAAAAAAGTACTAATACTAATACTAATATTAAAGGAGAAAGTAAAATAATGAAAACTAATACTAAAAAACAAATTCAAAGAAGAAAGGAGTAAAAAAGAAAAAGGAATCTGATAGGTCACAATTATGAGCCTGTGTCGGGCTTTAAAAAATTATATATTAATAGAATAAAGAAGCTCTGTAT